CACGCATCCAAACTACACGAGACACAGCCTCGTCACCCGTACGGCTCAGGGGCATTCTGGCTGCGCTTCTTCCAGGACAGAGCTGCTCCTTCCTCGGCTGTGCTTTGCAGCCCCCGTAGTTCACATGAAGCTGTCGTCTGAGGCCTTGCTTGTTCGCCGTGCAGCTTCCACGTGCACACGAGGCGATCGAACCCACCATGGCTTAGGTCAAGTACACCTTAGTCTTCAAAGTGACATCTTTGTTTTTGAACACTTAAAGTAAGTCCTGTGTGAGTGTGTGTGTGTGTCCTGCCTGCACTCTTGGCTTAAGATAAAACTCTTTCGTGTTATTTGAAGCGTGTGCCCCACCATTTCTTGAAACACGGTCGCCCATAGGCTGACCGCTGCGGAGAAAGAGGCTCCGAGAGGCTGCCGTTTGAGTGTGCTTCCAGGCAGGCAGCTGAGTCGCTGGGGGCAACGCCGGGAAGGAGGCCTGGTTTTCAGAGAGACGGTTGAATTGTAGACCATCTGCAATTCAACTGGCACACGCAATCGCCAGTTAAGCCCAACGGAACAACCCCCCCCCCCACACACACACATCCAAATGCTCATGCGCCATTGTCCAGATGAGCGTGGAGACTGGCCAGGAAAACCGGGTCACCAGGAAGGCAGGAGGGAGCATGTGGGGAGTCTCTGCTCTTCGGACGGCTCCCGAGGGTGGGGCAGGCAGCTTCGGGTTGCCGTGCCACTTACAGTGCTAGACGCTGTGACCTACAGACAATGAGCATGGTAATAGGGATGAAAGTCAATGTCACCAAGCAATCTACGAGGAAGAGAAAGCTCTTCTCCATGTTGGGTGATTGCACGGGCACGTGCTCGCCCCCCCCACCCCATACATATACACGCATACACACATGCACACACATATAAACACATACATACATACACATACACACATGCACACAGATATATACACACATGCACACACACACTCGTACCACTGTCAGCTCCCGGCTACAGGTCTGCATGTTCGGGACACTTTTATGAATGAGACCAAGAAGCCCCCGGTGTTGATAAAGAGTACATTCAGCTAAAGAAGGGTAGAAGGACAGGACAAAGCAAAATGCAGCGCATTTACTTAAAGTGGCCTCAGGACTTGGCATTGGAAGCTTACGCGAACCTGGGTTTCCAGTGGCTCAGATGGGGCCCACAGAGACCCAGTCCCTCTCTAGGCAGCTCCGATGGCCACATCTGCGGCTCCAGCCTGCGGGGACGCCCCTCTGAAGGACTCTGGCTTCCTGACCTTCTTCGTGGGCGGGGTGGGTTTCTGGTGATGGGTTTGAGGGGCCATGCTGCCACTTGACCGTGCCCTAGGAGTCCTGCAGGGCGTCTTGGGTAGGGACCTTGTTCCTGTTGGTCTCAGGGAAGCCTGGGCACCTAGCTTATGGTCCGTGCTCTGGCTATGCCCTGATTTTCCTGTGGGTCAGAGGTCAGAGGCAGGGCTCCTGCTGCTGCTGGGTCTGCTGGGCTGTGCAGATGCTGCTGCTGCTGCTGCTGCTGATTCAGGTCCCGTTGGTGCTGCTGTTGGTGGAGGTGGTGGGAGGTGGTGACTTCTACTGCTTTTCAGAAAGTCTTTCTGCAAGCCTGGTCTCATCTCATTGTCACCATAAACGGTTCACTCATACTTGGGGCCATTGGGTCGATCTGATTCATCATGACCACCCTTATCCATGTGTCCTGGACCAGCCATGGATGCCGGGGGACGCTGGAGGGAGGGACAGCTTCTCGGTTGATGTTGAAAAGATACTAGTTTATCCCAAGGCTTATGGGTGTTTATTTTCTCAAGGCCCTAGAAGATGAAATATCTTTAAATGTGAGCAAGGAAGAGTCGTGGCTCTGTGAGAGAGGCAGAGTGCACCGTCCTGTGTGCTGGGTGTCTGGTGGGCATTCACTGTAGGCAGTCAGAGATGGCTGACAGCAGCTCCCTGCTGAAGACAGTCAACCCCATGTCCTTCCGACAGATGAGACCAGAGGGCAGTGCGGTCCACAGCGACATGTCCAGCACAGCAGGTAAATGGAGGCCGTGGAGGGATGGCTTTCAGCCAAGACATCCCAGCACAGGAGCCTGAAGGGTCTCTGTTGGGCTCGCCCGTCTTACTGAACCATCCGTGGAGGCACCTCGCCCACCAACCCAAAGGCAGTTCTTCTGCCACCTGTTCTGCGTGCCTTCTACCCTTTTTCAGAACCTAGCAAGGCCATCCTGAAGGGTCTTGGAGATTCAATTTGTTCTTCGGAATGGCGGTAGAAGTGGGGACGGTCAAGTAGACACAGGGTGCTGAGGGCTGCACCCATGTGTTGGGTGGCCCTGTTGGGTGGTGAGTCTCCAGCTAAAGGCAGAGAGGGCATCCATGGACCGTGATGGCTGCAGATGACACACCAGCAAGGGCAAGTGTGGACACATAGGGCCCCGCTATGGTTTGCTAAGACATCATCTTCCTGACCCCTGGCGCGAGCGACGTAAGCCCTTTAAGGGTTTAGGCCCGCAGACCAAGAGTTCCTGCGGTGGGGGCAGTTTGTGGGCACCGCTGTCAGAGGACACTGGGCTTTAGGGTAGGTGTGAAATCAATGTGGTCGGTGGCTTAGTACTTCTTGTCCGGATCGCCCCTGAAGTCACGTTTCCATCCTTCCCCTGAGTGGTTCTCGGGTATTTGCATTCTCCTATTCTCCCACACCCATGCGACCATGTGGCCTTGGGAGCTGTTCCCCAGGGAGGTCGAGGGACTGGGGCATCTGGGGAGGAATTCTCCCTGGGACTTCAGTTTGTCACCAGCATCTCAGGAGGGAAGGGCTGAGTAAGAAGATGGATTGGTCAGCAGGAGTTTCCCAAGTCCCCAGGGAGCACTGACCTGGAGAAGCCATCCTGGTCCCAGCAGGGCAGCACCCTCTTGGCTTGATGAGCCCTTCCCTTCTCTGACTTTCCGGTGGGGTAGTCACAAGGTCTCGGCTGGCCTCTGCCCAGCCACCTCGCTTGCATTGACACTGCCCAGGTATTGATTGCTGTAGTTGTGAAGTCAACAAGTAAACTCATATATCCATGTATTCACTGGCCAAATCGCCTTCAGGAAAAATCGAGTTGCTATCAACCCTTTCCACGGGAGTCCATCAAAATGGAATTAGTGTGAGCTGCCCGCTCGCGGCCCATCGGAAGACAGTGGAGCCAACAGGAGGAACTGTTTCTCCGTCAAGTCCCTCCCACCCCCTCTACGCCCCCCTCTCCCCAGTACTGTCTGACTGTCTGCCTTCAGAGTGTCTCCTAATTAGGACTTTGTATCTACAGGAGCTATTCCACTGGGGATTGCTCCCCCCACCTCTTAGTAATTAAAAAAAAAAACCAAAACAATCACAAGAAGCATTAATGTAAAACTGCTTTTACTTATCATTAATTTTGTAAATCCTAAACTGGGAAACCCTAAAACCCAGGTCCGCGTATGCCCTGTTTCTGGGCCCAGCCGGCTCTGGGCCTGGGCACTGCATTTCAGAGACGTGGGGTGGCTGGCTGAGGATCGATGGCTAGGGGGTGCAGTTGGAAAGCAAACAATGCTGGAGTTCAGTTGGATTTCCCAATTGGAGCCATTAGTGATTGCATTTCGCCTGTAATAGTATTGCTCACTGCCTCGGCATTTTTCTTTAATTTTTGGAACATGCTTTCTGGGCTCCCATCTGCAAAATAAATGAGAGCCTAAATGATGTGAGCTCGACAGGGTCCCCATAGCCCTGCTCTCAGGCGCCCCTACCTCCACGTCCTCACCTCTCCCCAGCTCTTTCAAGAGGCTGCCTTGGAAGGCCCTGTCCCTGGCTGTCCTCTCTGGCCTGATCGCCCCCTGCTCTGGACACCTTGACTCCTCCGTCCTCTGGGTCTCAGCAGCACCCCCTTGGGCTTCTCTCCGTCTGGCCCATCCCTCTTCAGCTTCTTTCCACAGCTCTTCTGGGAAGACGTAAGCCCTCAAGGGACTGGGGGATTTTTCCTTTTCACCCCAAGCCCTCCCCTAGTTAAGTCACCCCACACTCGGTTCCCCTCACTGTCTGAGGACTGCAGTTTCCCCAGTCTCCGCCTCTGCACAGAGGGTTTCTCCGAGCTCCAGGAGTCTGGACCCACCTGGCCACTAGCCAGGTCCCTGGGGGTCCAGCAGACGTCTCAGTGTCAGCCTGTTCACAATGGAGCCCTGCCCATCTCCTCTCTCTGCCTCTCCTCTCCCTGGACCCCTCTGCGCCCAGACCAGGTCTCCTCTTTTCCGTCCCCCGTTCACCACCATGCCGTACCATCCTCATCTGGTTTCCTGTTCTCTCTGGTCATTAACACTTCCTTCGAACCCTCCATGGCTGGGCACAGCCTTGGATCATTGCAGTAGGTCAGTAGGCTGTTCTGTGTTTCCATCTACGCTGCTCCCCTTGGGCACTGTATCACAGGAGAATCTGCCACCATCCTTCCCCTCTCTCTCGGAGGGGGGGGGGCTGATTCACCTTTGATGCCACTGCCTCCCCCTCCCCAACCAGAGAGCTCTGTCCATGCACTGAGTTACGCATAGGGCTGCTAGCCCCAAGGTCAGAAGTTCTAACCCAGCAGGTGCTCTGAGGGAGAGAGAAGAGGCTGTCTGCCCCCACAAGCATTTACAGCCTCAGAACCCCAGGGAACAGGTCTGCTTACCTCTGCCCCACGGGCTTGCTGTGAGTCTGCAGGGTCAGCCACAGCATCCCCGTTTGTTCTTATGTGGTTGGTTCAAGCTCCACATGCCTACATGTGCTGTGAGCCATGACTCTGGGTGGGTGCAGACTCCCACATCTGCAGGCACATGATGTCTTGGTGTGATTGTGTGTGGCACCCCAAGGGCCCTGCGTCATGACACTAGGCTCATGGTCCCCAAAGCGTCCATGTGGCGTGCCTGAGAAGGCCCAACCAGTCTAGCCACCCGAGATGTCTCTTGGTGGGCGCCCCACTGACTGGCCCTTGCGTGTCCTCTCAGACTGCAGAGAGATCCTGCTTCCTGTGATGACGGACCAGCTCAAGTACCACCTGGAGCGACAGGAAGACCTAGAGGCCTGTTGCCAGCTGCTGAGCAACATCCTGGAGGTGCTGTACCAGAAGGACGTGGTGAGTGATGGGTCTGCAGGGGACCCCATGGGCCTCTCTGGCTGCCCTTCACCACCCCACCCCACCAGCCTCCTGCGATTGAAGCCACGCAGGCTTCCTGCAGAAAATGCGGCAGGAGGAGGGCCCCAGCCCAAGTCTTTCTTTCTCTGGGGTGAATGGCTGATGATGACTTTGCCAGGCGGAGTTCCCAGCCCTGGGAGAGTCTAGCATTTTAAGGGTTGATTTCCCATGTCTCCTTGGGCTGAACCACACTGCAAGTCCTAGATGTGCATCCCCAAGTTCAGACAAAGGCTTTGATATGGAAAGTTGACAATTAAAATAAAAGGCTAATGACTTAGGCACTTCCTTGCTTTATAATCCTTAACTATTCAGGTCAAACAGACAGAGAGTTTCAACAGCAAGTCTTCTAAGACTTATCCTGAGAGCCACGGCCTCCCCCCTCCCCCGGGGCCTCTCCCCACAGGCAATCTCTCCCCCTCTTCTGTTTAAGCTGGCTTGGGCTCCCGTCCCCTCATATTTCTGCATCGATAAATTGTAAGCTTATACCACTGACTTTTTTTTTTTTTTTTGGCCTAAAAAGTTGGTGCAGACACTGCAACAATCTGGCCCTCTTCATCCCCACCCCCACCCCCACCCCCTACCCCCATACCATGTATACTCGTGTATAACCAGAGTTTATCAGCACATTGTTTATGGTTAATTAGGTGCCTTGGCTGATATTTGGGTCGGCTTATCCTGGAGTAAATATGGTGCATGCAGTGATGCAGCCCTACAAGCACACACCGAGGAAAGGGCAGGTGTTTTAGAGCCTGGGCGGCCAGTCTACTCACATCCCCGCCCAGCATGCGCAGACGAGGCCAGGCTATCTGCCTTGGCAGAATGGCTTTTCACGGTCTACCTGCCACGGGACCTTCGGGCGCTTGCTTGCTCAACACAGCCCTGCACCCTTCTCTCCCCTTTAGTTTCTCAAATCCTGGGCTCCTTGAAGGAGGAGGCCTGACTCGATTGTCCCCCTAGACGGTGGCCCGGTGATGGAGTGGCTTTGAGCGCCCTAACAGGCCATCCTTGTAGGCCATGTTTGTTTCTTCCTGGGCCAAAGACTCAGGGTCAAGTGGTGTTGTGATTTTGTGCCTCACTGCTAACTGAAAGGTTGCTGGTTCCAACCCACCCGGCGGCTCCACGGGAGAAAGACTTGGTCAACAGCTTCAGGAGAGATGGCAGCCTAGGAAACCCACGCGGTGGTTCCACTCTGTTATGTGGGGTTGCCCATGGCTGGGAATTGACCCAGAGACACCAAGTCATAGGAACAAAGAGGGCATGTGGTGGCAGGGCCTTACAGAGAAACCTGTGCCCGCCCTGGCCGTGGGGGAAGGGCTCATTTGCAAAACAGATGAAGAAAAACCACCAAGCCCCTCAGACACAAAATGCATCCTACACATAAGCCGACAGGGACCTCCGTGACCCCGTGGGGCTATGATGGTTCACTAGCAGGACGCGTTGGCACTGTCCTCTGCGTGTTTGTTTGACCCACCGGGGTCTGACACGGGACCGGACTGTCGGCAGCTGTCTCTGCCGATCTCCCATCAACACACGGCCATGTGGGCTTCAGAACATGAGTTGGGGGGCCAATCGGGGATCAGAAAGCACCTCATGCTCACGCGGGTCTGCTCCTCTCCAAAAATAGCTTCATCGACGGCACATTATTCACGTCTCATACCATTAGGACAGTCGTCACCACATTCAGTTTTAGAACGTTGTCTTCGCTCTTGCACTCACCGTTATTAACTCCCCCTTTCCCCGCCCCGCCCCTGCCAGTACCTCCAAGGAACCATTCATTCCACCACTGACTCTGTAGATTCGTCTGCCCTGGACTTCTTATACAGAAAAGCATTGAAACCGAAAAAACGCAAACAAATCTAAGGACAGCAACAAAGTACAACGGAGTAAGAAAAGAAAGCGGAAACTCTTAGCCCCTAGAACACAGGTCAGGGGTCAGAAGGGAGACCACGTGGTAGGGTGCTGGATGTTGACCTAACAGCACCTGCAACAGTGCGTCCTGCATCATCAGCTCTGTTCCCATGTCTAAGGGTTGCTCACATTAAATGGCCGTGATTACAGAACTAGGTTCCGTTCACGGCCCACAATTAATAAGAGAAGGGCCCCTCTTCTGCCTCTGACAGGGCCCATTTTTCATCTTGTTCAAGGGAGGTCATCAATTTACCCTTTCCGGCATAAGTGGATTTAGTGGCAGCCGCCATGGGGGCTGGCAGCCCGGAGCTGCTCCGAGAAGCGGTGTCTCATGCTCTGTCCCTCCTGCAGGGCCCCACGCAGCGGCATGTTCAGGTCATCATGGAAAAGCTGCTTCGTACTGTCAACCGGACCGTCATCTCCATGGGCCGGGACTCCGAGCTCATCGTAAGTGCCTGGCCACAGACACATACTTGCATCTCTAATTGTGGCCAAGAGACTCTTTCTTTCCTTTGAGTGCCGTTTGCTCTCAAGCCGGAAAACCCTTTTGGTCCTTTCCTGGTTTGCGTTAAACCAGCTCTGGTTTCGTGTGTGGTGAGCCGCAGCCCTCAGGGAGCTGCCTCTGTCTGCCCCGTCTCACTCCTAGCTGCCCCAGAACTGCGTCTCAGCGCGTGGGGTAATGGAGCCAGTGTTTCAGAGCCAGAGTGTTGGGTTCTGGGGGGGTCTACTGATGAAGAGTTCATGCCACAGAGGTTTTTCTTAGTTTTCCGGCTAGCTTCTCTCCATCTCTTTACCTTAAATCTTATGCAGAAAGGCCTTCCGAAGTCACTGAGATCCGCTGCCTAGCTGTGTTGATGCTCCGAGACTAGGTCTGGTAGGCTTCTGTCTGTCTGATGCAGCATGTTTGGGCTTGGAGAACTACCAGCTCACTTTTGTCCAAAGAGCATTTTTACCCCAACATAGCGGCCTCTCTAGTCTTTGGCGTGCGCGCTCTGGTGTGTGCCCGCCGTTACCTGTAGGCTTGGTTTCTTAAGGGAGAGAGTCACACGCCTGCCTGTTGGTCTCGTTGACTTCCAGCTGGGGTCCCATTTGAACGGACCTGGACCTCAGAGGGTGGCATTTACGATGACTTCCCTACTCAGTGAGCACAGAGCCCATGTGGAGTGTCTGCTGGCCTCCATGGCTGGGTGCACCTATATCATGCTGTAAGCAGGGAGTCACCTGGCCCTCTGCAAGCAGAGTCTGAACAGAGCCCTGGGCGTGTGGGTGCCTGGGGAGGGGGTCGCAATCAAGGGTGCTGCGTCATGGCTGAGCCACAGGCAGTGAGCAAAGGAGCAGAGGAGACCCTGCCGCCGCCACTGCATCCGGTCCTCAGAATAGTCCCATGCGAGACTCAGCGGCTCCTGCATGCTGCCTGACATGCTCCCTTGTGCCGTGGATTCTCAGCAGCTGTGGGCTGGACGTGGACCAATCAGGAAACAGAGTCTTCCTGGTGAATTTGCTTCCCGTGCAGCGGGCTCTCCCTGGTGTTCTATGATCTTGATTCCTGCCTCTGACCGCTCCTCCACATGACTTCTTTTCTATGGTCCAGACACCCGTTTGTATGCTAGGTGGGGGCAGACAGGCTCTGAAGAGCTGTCATTGGGGGATTCTAGGCACACCGCCTACTCCCCTCCCCACCTCGAGCTCTGGCATTCCTGGCTCCTCAGGGTCCTGTCCTGAGGGACCTTGGAGGACTTCCATTGTAACCGACCTCAGGGGATGGCATCTCCCGAAGATGACAGCCTGTCACTCTGTATCACAGCAGGGGAACATGGCAGGTGCATAGGCAGCTGGGAGTCGAACCAAGCCTGGTATTGCTCATGCTGACCTCCTACTGGAATAGCTAGTGGTGCTCTGTCTCCACGGCACTCTTGCTTTTCTACTGGGCTCCACCGTCCACTGCAGCAGCCTCACCTAACTGACAGACAACGGCTGCAATTAGGGGGCCTAAGAGGGAAGGTTCCAGGCTGCAACTGAGGGGAGAAAAGCTCAGCTGGACAGTCTCTCCTCTGCCGGGCCAGCGGGAAGGCTTCTCTCTCTGGCCCTTAGCCTCTAGGTCCAGCATCTGTCTTGCATTGGCAATTTAACAAAGCTCTTTTAGGGCTACCAGTAAATGCCTGAATGTCATGCCACTCTTCTGTGAGCCTCAGCCCGAAGGCACCCTACTCCAGCTCTGTGGGTCAGCAAACCCAGCTCCTCCTATAAAGTGCCCAGAGGCAGCCGACTCCGCAAGCCGGCCTCCTGCCCCAAAGCACTCGGCCCTCCTCGCTGTGCGGGCTGGGAAGTCGTCTACTGTTCTGTCTCTCGCTCTGGCCCCTGGTTCTGCTCCCTTGACGCGCGCTCCTCTGGTGTGCTCACGCTGTCAGCGGGATCAAGGAGGTTCCCTGTGAAGGAATCTGGGCTCCAAAGGACATGCTCCGCTCCTCGCCCATCTCTTACCGGTAGTGAGGTTTTCCTCCATTCCTGCTTCTGTGGTGGCTCATTCTGTTCCCAGCATGACAAAAGTAAACAACACACACAAACACGCTCACTGCCATCAAGTCCGTTGACTCACGGCAAGCCTCTAGGGCAGGGTGGAACTGTCCCAGTGAGATTCTGAGACATTGCCTGCAGCAGAAAACCCCATCTTTCACCCATGGAGCAGCTGGTGGTTTGGGCCTGCTGACCGGTGTGTAACCACTGCCCCCAGAAAAAGAGCCATCACAATTAACCCCATACCCAATCACTCGATGTCTTCTCCCACCTCCTCTTACCCACACCCACCAGGGAAGGGGCCTCTGGTGGTAGAGACTGTGGTCAGAAGAACCTCATTCACTCATCCACTGCCCTGCACAGAGGTTGGGGGCCAAGTGGTGGGACTCCTAGCATCCGAGTGGGGGGCAGTTCCAGAGGTGGTCTGCTTGGTGGGCCTGTGGGGGAGATGGCAGATGGGGAGGACTCAAGTGAGCTGAGGAGAGAGTTCTAGCCTGGAGGGGACCCAGGTCCAGATGGGCACGCGGGGGTGTGAGATACTGCAGCGTGTGCTCACGTGCCCACCGCACATCTCCTGAGCTGGGCGTCTCCTCGCTGATGCTGCGCCCTCACACCTTTGTGCTGTCAGCTGAGTCGGAGGAGGATTGGGGTGCATCCCATGCAGCATTCTGGCTCTTCCATTCGAATCGGGCGTCGCTGTGTGCCTAACTCCTCATGTCCTCGCCCTCGCTGGGCGGCTATTGATGAGAAGGAGAGCCGGGCAGGTAGTCCCACCAGAGGTGGGTGGACAGCGGGCCTTCTAGACTGGAAAAGGCGCAGCACATTCACAAGGCTGCCTGGCACAGAGGCTGCCATCTGGATGTGCTGCTTGATTTCTGCCTAAATGTCCTGGAGACTGTCGGTGAATCAGCCTAAGAGTTCTAAGTAATCACTGATAATGGATCAAATAAATAAGTAAGTGAAAGTGATTTAAAAAATAACCACCACCACAAAAAACCCTCTTGGGTAGACAGGCTCCGCGGAACGACTAATTCCACGCGACCGTCAACAATAAGATTTGAAATGGAAGTGCAGTTCCATCAGATGAAGTTCTTAATGGAGATCGCGGGGTGGCCTGCCAATTGGTGCTAGCCAACGGATGTACAGGACGGAGGACTGTGGGCTGCCACCCATAACTGGATCAGCTGTGCCCTGCCCTGCTCTGTATGGCATAAGGGGCTACATGCCCTGCACTGCTCACCATGACGCCAGCGGTTTGAACCCACCAGCCCCTCTGGGGGAGGAGGATGAGACTGTCTGCCCTCTTAAATATTTCAATCTCCGGAATCTACAGGGGCAGTTCTATTCTGGCCTCTAACGTCGTGTGAGTCAGAAGCAAGTTGATGGCAGTCAGTTGGGTTTAGGAGTTCTCAGCTAGATCTATAGTATGTTGTGAAACAATCCCATTATGCCACTGGCTGTAGCTTATTTCGGTTCACTTCATCCGGAATCTGCTGCCCAAGACCTCTTTTAACGTGTTGGAGAGTGAGGATGATCCTTGGAGGGCTAAGGTTTGCCTGACCCAAGCCTTGGTGAGTCTTTGTCTTCTGTATTTTGGACGTGTTGTCAGGAGTGACCGGTCCACAGAGAAGGACATCGTGCTTGGTACAGTAGAGGGGCAGCGAAAACCAAGGCAGACGTGCAGCAAGATGGAGTGACACGCTGGCTGTGAGGTGTGCCTCAGACATCGCAACCATTGTGAGGACGGCCCAGGGCCAGGCCTGCTTCCTTCTGGAGGGCAGCTACGAGTCGGAACCAATTTGGCAGCTCCTGCCTAGAATAACAGTGGAATGCAGAATGCATGTCAAGCAAGCGATAAAAATATACCACGATCCCAAGTATTGCCTTTATTATGCATTTTTCTTCCTTTCAGAGGAAGAACAGGCTTTCTTTGCAATGGTGGAGTCGCAGGTCCTTCGGATGCCCACTGCGTTCGTCTGGGTACTTTAGAGAAACAAATCCACAGTAACTCATGTATAAGAGGGAGTTTTATATAAAGGTTAAGTGTGCATCAAGAAAACATCCCAACCCAGTGCTGCCCAAACCCACAAGTCCAACATCAACCCATTAACCCATATGTCCAAAATTAATCCACAAAGTCCTCCTCCATCTCACAAAACAGACGCAATGATGCCGACTGCAGGAGGAAAGCCGAGTCAGTGAATGTGTAAGCATCTCAGTGCTGGCAGGGGTCTCCACACGACTGCCCCAGCACCCAGGGCTGCATCGGGGTAGGTCCATGCAGCTTCCTTCTCCTTGGGGATGTCTTGCAGAAAGTCAGCCTTGCCAGCTGAAGCAGGGAACCACTAAGGTAGCTACACCCTGGTCCGACCATCACAAAGCAAGAGACCCGAGAACTAGAAAGGCGAGGCTCACCGAGCTATTTATCCCTCTGCCCTTCAATTAATCCCACATGTGTTTATTGGCTAGGTTGGCGTAATAAACTAACTCACCCACCCACCAAAACGGGGGTGTCTGGCAGATGCTTGGCAGCCACTTGGCCACAGTCTGAGGTCACTGCCCCGCTGCCCTGCTGCTGCCTGGTACCTGAGGGCAAAGCTCGGCTTGAGTTGAGTGCGATGTAAGATTCCCGTTCCCTCTTCCTGCTTCAGAGGGTGTCCCTCACCGTCACCGGCGTTTTTGAGCAGGCAGCCGTCAAGTGGCACGTGGCCCTGGCAGTGCCGTGGGCTCCTGCGCCGCTGTACTTGGGGCTAGGTAGAAAGCAGCTGGGTTGAGTAGCTCGTGGTTCCTTCTGCTTTGAGATTCGCCGCAGCAGTTGACCCCGCTGCGGCCGCTGCTTCTACGTGGCCGGCTGCACTTTCTCCTCCTGGGCCCTTTCAACATGCAGTCACTTTTCCTTCTCTGGGGTCTAGAAACACAACCCAATACTAGGAGTTACACGTTTGCTGCGATGGGAGTTTGGACCTCTGCTGAGACAAGGAACCTTCGTGGTGTCGTGGGTAGAAGCCCTGCTGGCACAGTGGGTTCCCAAGGTCAGCAGTTTGAAGCCACCAGCCGCTCCTGGGAGGGGGGTTGGGGAACGAGGCTTTCTACTTTAATAAAGAGTCTGTCTCAGAAACCCACAGGGACCATTCTACCCTGTCCCTGAGGGTCGCTGTGAGTCAGGCTTGACTTGGACGGCAGGGAATTTGGTGATTGGTCCAGCAGGAGGCTCTGAGCAGGGCAGCATCTGGCTGAGGGTCCCCATTCAACTGTGTGCACAAGGCTCTGAAGGGGGTCCCTGCCTGCTCCCTGAGCACCTGCCAGCGATGGGCAGAGCTCTGATGGAGGGTGGGGCTCTGACGGGGTACCTGCTGGCACAGACGCCTCCAAAGAGACCCTGACCCTGCGGATGTCAGCTTTACCTTACAGAAGGTGTGGCATGCCAGAAGTGTATGGCCCATTTATTTCCCATTGAGTGGCATGTATGGCGGCCACAGCATCTGGGGTGGCGTGCCAAGAATAGGGGTACTGCTGGGTACCCTAGTTGGAACCAGTCACCTGACACAAGGACGATGGCACAGTTTATGGCTTTGAGTCCAGCCACTTCTCAGAGCCCGGCAACCTGGTAGTGGGCAGGCCAACATGGGCCACCAGCCAGGGCCTTTCTAGCCCGAAGGGTTGCCCAGACCTTGTGGCTGCCCACTCTCCTGCAAGTGCAGGGGAGGGCCCAAGATCTGCAGTCCAGGTGCAGAGAGCCGGGTATCCACTCCAGTGGCTGTGGCTCTCATAGCAAGCACCGGGTGGTGGCTGGTTGGGTGGCCAAACGATTCTTGTTGCAGCTGTTTACCGAGAACAAGGGCCTTTGGGGAAGTAGCAGACCCCTCCCCACCCCCAAACTAGCCCCTCCGTCCTGTCCCGCCAGACTTGGGCACTTTCCTGCAGCCCCCTTTTGTCTTTAAAAGATCCAGCCTGGGCCTAAGTGACACAAAATGCAACCGTTTCTTTCTCTTTTTTTTTATTTAAAAATTAATAAAGAACTTAATGACAAGTTTAATAATTTAATCTCTATATGGAACGCCGAGTGTACATCTACATATGAAGGGACAGTGTCGTGTGGACCTTGGATTGGAATCGCAAGTTTTCGCTGGATCTGTCTGAGGGTCATCTGCTAGCGACACATTGCAATTGGGCACAGAAGGCTTCGGACAATCATTGTCTCTCTCTTTGGGATATAATTTGAATCTCATAGAACCTCCCTCCTGACTCTTAACATTCTGCTTTTCTCTATTTCTGGCATTGGCTACTCTGAATCTGATCAGAGAGCTGCTGACACACCCTTATTCCAATTCTCATGTGGGGTGTGTCGGGGTGTGTGTGTGTGTGTGTGTGTGTGTGTCTTAGAACACTAACTTGTTGCCTCTCTCCTCGCCTCAGTTAAAAACAGGATACAGTGCACTAAACATAGTCACCAACGCTTTGTCTACGAGGAAACAATTGCACTTTCTCTGGGGGCTATCAGTCGCCTCTTTATACCGATAAGGGACATTGGGGCTTTCAGATAGGGACCCTTACTAAAGCAATCAGCTCCACAGTGAGGGGAGACCGGGCCCTGGGGGCAATCCAGACAGTGCTGCCCCTACCCACATCGAGTACCCAGGGGAAATCCCTAAATGGCTGTCCCCCCTGCCCCCATGTTAAGAGGAATGGACTTGGATTGTTCCGAGGAGGGAGCATAAAGCCTTCCACCTGTCCCTTTGTCAGCAGCCTTGGAATGTCCCCTTTCGCTGTGCCTCTGTGTCCACCTTTCTTGAGGAAGGACATTGGGCTACATGGGGTTAATACATACTTTTGGGTGACAGCCCCTTCAAGTGATGCCCAGGGCACTTAGGGCACTTGCCCCACCTGCTGCAGCTTAGACCTGACTGTGACTGGTGCGGCTGGAGTCACCCCCAGGACCACTCCCAGGGTTGCTCTTCTACTCGGTTCCGCTGTGTGTCCACTGACCCCGCCCAAGTCCTAGTAGATTCCCAAACACTTAGAACTAGACGGACTCACTGTTGAGTCAGGAAGTAAATGTGGCGAAAAATAGTGCCAATCTGAAACAGACAGACAGACAAATAAAAACACCCAAGGAAGTCCCTCCCATGGAGGGAAGCCCCTCCTTTCTGGCATCTCATCAGGGGGTCCAGCAGGTCAGCGCTGCGGGCTGGACGGACGCTTGGCGGCTGGTGTCCTCAGGTGGTTCGGACTATTCGAAATCCAAGTCATGCCCCCTCCCTGGAAGGCAGCGTAAGCTTTCCTATCATGAAAGGCAGAAAGGAAAAAAACAAAACCGATTGACAAAAGTCATCAGGCGGCCCCAGGATTTGGGGTTTTCCTATAAAAAGAGATTTGCAAATTGTGCAAAGGAATGAGTGAAAAAATAAAGGAATGGAAATTTCCAGCATGGTGCGGAATCCAGAGAGAAGTCCAGGGGTGGCGTGGTTGATTTAAAAAAATAGCTAAAAACGTCAATTCACAGCTTTTCCCTAAAATGTCACTGCGGGACTATGAGTTGGCTGACCGTGGGGGACATGGGGGCTGGTAGCAGCTACACTAACCACGTGGTTTCTCGCTGAGATGGTCGGGGTTCCCAGAAGGCTGATGAAGCAAGAGGGGGAGTCATTTAAAACATTGGCTGAGCTGACAGTAGCGTACCATGTGTCCGAAGAGGGACCCTAGGTGGCCAAGAACACTTTGGGGTGGCAGCGGGGCTTCTCAGGCCCCTCTATCCAGCAGTCACCATCGATCCATCTCTTCTCAAGTGCTTGCCAGAATTCATCCTTCGGCCTGGCGGGGACCAAAAGATGAAACCCCAGGCCTGTGATGGTCTCACGTGCGAAGGCAGGTCCCCCTGGCGGGGAGACTCCTGGCTGCTGGCCGTTTGGAAAATGAACAGTAAACGCGTGTTGGGTTTGGGGATGGAGAGGAGGGCAGGTCTGAGGTGTGGTGCGGGGCGCGGTGATACGGTCGCCGGGCAGGGAGCTACAGCACATGAAGGGCAAGTATACACATTGTCACATTTGCGAGAGGGGTTACTCGTGGTCTCTGACCACTTGGGGAAAAAATTGTGCTTTCTCCAGAATTGGGTGTGCTGAAAACGGCCCCGCCGCCTGCGTGTTTGCAAAACGAAATGCAAAATGAGGTCCTCTGCAAACGTAAGGCTGCCGCTGCTCCTTGCTTAATTAATGGAAATAAAGGCTCGGATCGAACACTGCGCTCCTGGCTGTGCAGAGTGACCGCGGCGGGCCCATCCGTGGGTTGGTCACGTGGTTCTCACAGGCCTGGAGAGGGGGCTGGGGCCAAGAGAGTTTTTAACCTGTCTTCATCAGTGCCAGTTTGACTCCCACAGCAGCCCTCTGCCAGGAGCAGCTGGCGAGGTGCGGGTGGGGGCAATGCCTGGCGCCCGGCGGGTCATCTGTTCTGGTGCTCAGGCGTGACTCTGCCCAAGCCAACACCAGGCTGCGGCCCATCCCCTGGGTCTCGGAAGGTAAAGGCTTCACCTGACTCCGGGGCGTTCCAAAGGCGGCCTTTCCGTTCTGGACATGGCGAGTTTCATAGGAACCAGAGTTTCCATCTGGCGTGCTTTTTAGATTCCGTTTTGGATTTTTGCTTGGGAGTGGAGGAGGCGTACATCTCCTGAGAGTAAGGCAAGGGTGCGACCTGAGTTTCCTCAATAGAATGGAGTTTCCTCAGAACTGGTTGGAGCTTGTCTTCTTGCTGCTTAAAATCCAGCTCCACACTGGAAAGGAAAGAGGGGGGAAGAGTTCAGTGCTGGGGGACAAAGACCCCACTTGGGGCGCCAAGAGTGTGGTCCTATCCCGCCAGGCTAATTGCAGGTGACAATGAGGATACTCCCTGTCATGCTCAGACCGTTCTGGACATGACTTTGCAAGGTGTCTTATTTAAGCCGCTCCCTGGGCTCAGCTGGAGGCCCTGTGACGGTCTGGGAACAGGTTCTTTCTTTGCAAATGGACTTCATTTGCGTTCAGTGTCAGCCGCTGAGATGGAAGAAGTGACAGGACGCCTATTATCTGCCCTTAGAGAAGAGACAGACCTCACACACGCACATCAGGAGATGCCGTAGGCACACCAGTAGGCACCTTCGGGGGCCTTCGTGGGGCATGTGGGTGCCACAGTGTGGAAACCAGGAGGGTGGGGCATGTGGGTGCCACAGTGTGGAAGCCAGGAGACATGGGGGCCCGCTGTCCCTGTGGAACACTCAGAAGATATGAGAAAGGACCTGGCTTACCTTCTCCACGGACTAGCTTCCTGGGAATGACGTGAGGAAGAGCCTAGGTGCCTGCCATTGTGCCAGCGGTGCACTCCTCGAGGGAGCACCCGGGACCGAATTGTGCCCCCTCTGGCTGGGCCGTGCTGCTCACTGGTGTGGAAGTTAGTGGATGTTGGGTGGTTTGTTTGTCGGTTACGTAATGAGATAATCATCTCCCACTGCGGGATCTGATGTTCTAAGGCAGGGGTCCTCAAACTTTTTAAACAGGGGGCCAGTTCACTGTCCCTCAGACCCGCTGGAGGGCCAGGCTATAGTTTTTTTAAAAAAACTATGAACAAATTTCTATGCACACTGCACATATCTTAT